AAGGAGCAGGGACGGAGACACAAGATGGCCGCCAGACTCGCAGGTTAACGAGCTGAGATTGCGGTGACCTTTGCTGGAGCAGGTGCAGCAGTGAACGAAAGAGGAAGAGGAGGAGGAGGAGGAGGAGGAGGAGAGCCGTAAAAGAAGAGCAGATGTTCAGAAAGAAAATAATGGCAATATGGGGTGTAATTTTTGCAGAATGGAGCTAAAATTGTAAAACCGGCTTATATGATGAAGCTGTAAGAGACTAATCAAATAATGAAGTTTGAATTAGATACACAGACTGGATAAAGAAGTCGACTAAGGGACTGTGACATCGCCCATAGCGTTTGGCTCCAGTCAAATGAAGCTCATTGCGGTTTGCAGTTATAGGAACGAATTTGGAGCCAGTTCCATATTAGGAATGTTGGGGTTTTTTTTATATAGTAAATTGTGTAGTGTTGTAGTCAAGACCGCACTAATCGAGACCAAGACCTGTCTGAGACCACAGGGTCCCGAGACCAGGACAAGACCCAGACCACGAGACCAAATCGAGACCAAACTGAGACCAAATTGAGACCATCTTTGTAATTTTTGACATTTACTTGCATTTTACAGTTATTTTGGCACATATATATCATTTTTATAAATCTTTCTCCATTTTATCACTCGTTGAGGATCAGACCCACAGACCGAGACAAGACCGAGTCCAAGCGCCTTCAAGATCAAAACTTTTAAAGGCCGAGACAAGGCCAAGAGCATGGCATTTTCAACATTTATTTGTATTTTACAGTTATTTTGGCACATATATATCAGTGTTTTTAATAAATCTATCTCCATTTTATCACTCGTCAAGCATCAGACCTTGAGACTGAGTCCAAGCACCTTCAAGACCGAGACAAGACCAAGACTGCAAAAAAATGGTCTCAAGGCCAGTCTCAAGCACTACGACACTAAAGTTGTGTATAGTCTGGACCACTATGAGATTAGAGTCGTCTTTTCTGCAGCTAAATGTGGATGTAATAAATCAAAAAGTGCAGACCTGTAGATGTGTTACATCACTTTTTCACTGACAAAATTTCTAAACTTTTCCATGACTTTGTGAATTTTCCCTGACTTTACGGCACCTACATCTGTAGAATTGATCATGAGTTTAGGACTAAATATGAAATGTTAACCCTTTCCACTCACATTATGGTTTGGGATTATAGTTTTTTAAAATTCAAAATACTGTCAGTGCATTTATTGTCGTCTCTCTTAAAGAAAAGGCGCATACATTTGGAAATAATCGCAATAGCCTGATGATAACTTAACTGAACGCTGTAGTTGTGTGAAAGAGAAACTAAAGATTCCTCGACTTTTCCAGACCTGTAAAATGACAGTTTTAATTTCCATGACTTTTCCAGGATTTCCGTGACCGTGTGAACTCTGTGCATTTAAATAGCTCCTTTCAAGACACCCAAAGCTCTTTACAGTTCATTATTCATTCACTCCACACTGTTAATGTAGCCACAGCCGCCTTGGGACAGACTGACAGAAGCGAGGCTGCTACTCTTCACTCCACTTTCTTACTAGGCAATGTAGTTGAAGCGTCTTGCCTAACGATCCAACAGCACTTTTTGCCACAGGTGCTCACACAATTCATAGCGTCATAGCACTTCTACAGTTTCAACACCTTCGCCAACACTGATCTTTCAGCTCTGCCACAGGATGGCGAATCTCACCTGATGCACGCCACATGTGTAGCACTATCATAATTACGTTTTACACATGATTATGAAACGGCTCCCACTTGGCCTGTTACAATAATTACTATATGGACTTACTGTTCAATACATGACAGATACAAGTACTGTATTTTTCAGACTATAAGGTGCACTGGACAATGAGGCGCATTAAGTGAAACAAAAGGACGACACTTGAGACTGAACCCTTAGCACAGACGTCCACGATCCTTCGGCAGATCGAGGCGTAATTGGCCCAGCGTTGCCTCCCTGTCTTGGTGAATCTGTACTATGAATGTGAACGTGGGTGGATAATTTAGGTTTGTTTTTTTTATTTCTTACGAGGACGACTCAAATATACATTGCGTAATAATGTGTTTAATTCAGCTTTGCACACATTTGTTCACGTTTTATGGAAACGCTGAAAAAACTACTCGCTCCTTGTGCGTTGATGTGGTCAGATTATGATGGAATCCGCAAGGCTCTTGACTACATAGCCGAAATGCTCCGACATGGCTTCGTATCTTACCGAAGTCGTACTAAAACATTTTGACAGATTTTTGAGCGCTGTGTACGACATAAAATAGGTTCGAGGTTAGTAAGCACAACCAGAATTAATACATAAAACACACCGGATTATAAGGCGCACTGCTGATTTTAGAGAAAATTAAAGGATTTTAAGTGCGCCTTATAGTCCGAAAAATACGGTACATTTCTGGGGTGAATATTTATCGTGTGTAGATTTCCTTTACACTATTAGAACATTTTTGGTTACTTTTTGGCTCTATGATGAGATCTGAGCTTGTATGACTCATTACAGATGCAAACTAAATACTAAAGTGTATCATTCTGCTGTTTATTTATCGCAGCTTTTTTGTTGTTTTTTTTTGTTGTTTTTTACAATTTTGTAGATTTAGAATAGTTTTTGTGGTTTAAATCTGCTCTTATTATTATTATTAGTATCAGTGGCATAGATTAGTTTCATCTAGTTCTTTATTGTCTATATTTACTTAAGCAAAATATGCCATTTCAAACTCTGTTATCGTGACAGACCTGGCTCTTGTTGAAAGTGGTCGGGAAACGATGGAGCGTCATAACAAAAATGTTATCTGTTTGTCTGATTGGTCACTACCGCAGAACAAGCCAAGAAATCAAACTTTTGTTATATCCAGTTCAGACAAAAACACAGATCGTTCCCATTTCCCAAAGCACAAAGAGCTCCCCACAAAATAGGGCAGATGGATTCTTGTGAGTTTGTGAACTTACAAATATTGGGAGATTTCAACTTACAGGACAGGTTACAGGTAAATCTACTGCTACGATTTTTTGCCAGGTTAAAATGACTTCACTCTGCAAGTCCTAGCTCGCTCTGTTAGTATTCTGTTTACCCGACCAGCCAGAACCGCACGCTTTCACAAAACCATACAAAGACGAGTGGATCTGGAGCTGTATCCTGTCTCCCTGATTTCAGAGGGTGTGATTGACAGGTGGATTAACCAATCAGAGAGAAGCATGGTCCATTTGTGTCAAAACAAACATGTAAAAAAGGTGGAAAACAGCATAGGACTCAGCAAGAAACGGCATGGATTTTCTCAGAATCAACATTCGAAACACCAAACTGTTACTTGTCTGGGGTAAAAGAAGTTAAATATTTTGTTCTGAATGATATGAGAGTTTTGGAAAGGAGATTTGAGAGAGACACAAGCTACAAATGAGCAGCTGTGGGTTGACATTGGAGGCTTTTCACGCTCTGTGGTCCAATTCTAGGCCTTTCTGGATTTTAACAGAATGAAGAAAGGACTGGTCAGGCGAGTATTCTACATGGCCACACTTAAGAACTTAGACATATAAATAGTTTTCAATATAAAACATAATTGTTGTTTAAAGTGACCAAAGATAAAAGTGGTAAAAACGTCAAAAAGTTTGAATAATGCATAAAATAAGTCTTCAGTTGAGTTGAGTGCGTGAGAGAAGTTCTGATGATTCTCAAATTTTGATGGAATTGGTGAGATAAAACCTGTAACAATCAACAGGTAATTTGCAAAGAAATGTTGAGAAATATGTTAAAAATTACAAGAAGTAGAAAATTCGGTGTTAGAAAGTCCCACACTGAGGACATCACACTGGGAGAATTCTGAGTTTGGCACAATTTACACAAAAGAAACTAATTTTTCCAATATTTTAAACATTATTTCAACAAAATAAAGGAGTTTTATTGTCTTTTTCTTTGTCAAATAATAATCTGAGGAGTTTTCGACCAGTGTGATGTGATGATTTTCAACCAGGCAGTAAAATCTGAAACCATGGCTGTGTCCCAGTGTCCACCCTAGTCCCTAACCCCTCATTCACTGCACAGGCCCGCACTCATTATCATCCTCTACAGTGTACTCATTCTTGGAGAGATTCGGACACACAGCTCACTACACTGGGGTCATGTGACTCTGGCGTTTGGATGAAAAAGTCTGTGAAACTCTGATAAAACTCGATTTCAGATCAGACTGACACACAAGTGTTTATGGACTAATAATTTACAATTTACGTTTTTAAGAGTGTTTTATTCAATGATATAAAAGAATGAAAACTTCGCACATCAGTTACTTGAGACGGGTGCGTTGGAGGGGAGGGAGCAGCCCTAAAAGACAGAGAAAAATCCCACACGCCGTCTTACTTGCAAATTGTGAGATTTATTAGGACAAACCGTGCAACTGGTCTCCGTCAGGCAAACCAAACTAGGCCTGAGGAAGACCTAAAAAGTGCCAAAATGTTGCACGGTTTGTCCTAATAAATCTCACAATTTGCAAGTAAGACGGCGTGTGGGATTTTTCTCTATGTTCTAAGAGTGTTTTATTCAGCATCAGGATCAACAGTGCCATAAACTAACACTTTTATCGGCTTCATTCAGTCGTGTTGCGTCCAGTTAAACACCTGTCGCTGAACGCCGTTGTTTTCCCGACTCTCACAATGCATTATGGTCTATATTGACCGCTATAGTGACCACCGATGCACACTACTTTTCAAGGTGCATTGTGGGAAATTTTGAGTGCACTATTTTCTCACCAACTGGACATTCGGATGCCCCTAAAAATGGATTGACCCCTAAATAGTGTCCTAAGTATGGAATAGTGTGGACATCGAACACAGCCTTAAAAAATGCCAAATTAGGTAAATTTTTAAGTTAAATCTTAAATATAACGATCTCAAATGTGTTTTAGTCAAATGAGTGGTCCAAATGTCACAGGCGCTTTAAACCTACAGAGCCGTGTGTAGACTAAGTGGGCTCAGATTTGCCTCTCTTACCGGGGTGTATCCGTGTGCGCTGGTGCCACTCCCTCCTGCTGTGCTCATGCTGTTCAGGTTATTTAGGTTATTTATGTTGTTGATTGTGACCGAGGACATGCTCTGGTCGGACAGGCTGTTACTGAGGCTGCCTCCCAGACTCCCAGGACTGTGGCTCCCCTCTGGTTCGGGGTTGTAGAGCGCCACCTGTGGGCAAAGACATAACAGAGAAAACAGAGCGCTTGAATAAACTCGTATGAATGAAATAAGCAGGATACAATTCTCCAAGCTTTGTCTTAAGTACCCCATATACTTCGTCTTACACTCCAACTAGAGCATGGAAACCCGACTGAAATCCGGCGGGACGGGTTCGGACAAATATTTAGAACTCATGTTTGGGCTCTGGTCAGACTCGGACACATCATCGCGTCAGCTGTTTCCTGTCTACAGTAAAATGACTCGTTTTGAGACTCTTAAATGTTCAAAAAAAAAATCTTAGCCTTGCATTAAACCTAACCTTAAAACCTAAAAGATTAGCGATAAAGTACGCAGGAAGTAAAGTCTCTGCAGCTTCACCTCGATCCGTGCGCTGCGTGGATGTAAACAAACACACATGAGGAACTACTCCTGCCTTTTTACTTTTAAAGAACGGCTCAAACTGGATTAATAGCACGGTTTTGTGGACTGGATGTCATTATGTGCAGAGGACAAATTCTATGGATAATGTGGATGACATGCTGCACTTTAAATTTATCACTTTACGAGCGGTGAGTAAGAGGTCTTCTCATTATTTTTGCTATATCCCGAGTTTGTATTTTGCATCTCTGTCCGTTAGAGCAGGGGTTCTTAGCCTTTTCAATCTTGGAGCTTGACTTTTTCTGAACAAAGTAACCTGGGGCCCTATCTCATATTAAATGCATTATATTGTACTGATTGTGGGGCCCCCAAGGAGGTGGTCCCAGCCCTAGGGTTAAGAATCACTGCTTTAGAGGCCACACAAACAATATCCTGAGTGTGTCATTAGTCGACCTGTGAAAATAGTGTGATTTTAATTGTGTCGGGTTCGGACACAAATATCTTAATGCCTACTAGGCTGGGGTCGGTTCGATCACCGCTCTGTCAGGTGCTGGCTAGGCTTGGACAGAAAAATGTGGCCCCAATCTACAATAGGTAGGTAGGTACTAGGTTTACTGAAGTAGTATATTACATTTTCTTGTTTTAATGATACTTATGTAAAATTGTATGTAAAGTTTTCGTTTAAAATCAGTAAGTGCTTGCCGGTAAATGTTTGCATTCTCTCCAAAGTCCTAGCACCACTTGCTGGGAAACACTGGTCTAGATAAATGCAATATAACCAACAAAAAATTACAAACTTCGACCTCCCTGGTCATGAGCTCTGGGTAGTGACCGAAAGGACGAGATCGCGGATAGAAGCGCTTGAAATGGGCTTCCTCCGCAGGGTGGCTGGGCGCTCCCTTAGAGATAGGGTGAGGAGCTCAGTCACACGGGAGGAGCTCGGAGGACGTGTCTGGGGTGAGGGAAGTCTGGGAGTCCCTGCTTAGGCTGCTGCCCCCGCGACCCGGCCCCGGATAAGCGGACGAAAATGGATGGATGGATGGACTCCCTGTGTCTTGTTTCATTCACACATGCTTGAGTAATCCTTTATTATTAGTCTGTCTACATCTCCAAAGCTCAAAACTGCACCTTGTAAAGTCATGAAGCGGTAGTTTTCAAGTTAACAGCTCCTTTTACCTTTAGTCCGGTAGAGACTGGCAGTGAATGGAACAAAATACAACTCCAGGAAAAAACATTATAGCATAGATCAGAAAATAGCGTAACATGGGCCCTTTAAACCATAAAACTCTCTCAAAATGAAGTCATTCCTTGCCCTCTGTATGGCACCTAACACATCCCTTTAGGATCAGACCACAGAAAAACCTAAACTTGACTTGATATTTCTAAAAAAAAAAAAAAAAAAACCTGACACGCAGAAATATTGTCTTGTGTCCCAGGATCAGAGGGCTGTTAAAAGACCTGCCTGTGAGTGACTTTGGTTCAGTCGGATGTGTGTGAAGCAGAGCAGAACCTTCTACCTTCAGGCTACGTTTAATTGTAAAAGAAGGAAAGCCACCGAGAATTTGTGCGAGGTTTAGAGGAGCAGCATCCGAACAAAACAGAGAAACAACAGTGTGGGATCTGACTGGGAGGCCTGCAAAGTGCACAACATGATCCGACGTGAGGCTAAAGGCGCATTGTGTAACTTTTCTGATGGAGGATCCGTCACACAAACATGTCACAGTGTGGTGTTAAACCTTTCTATCTTCATGGAGACCAAACCAGACCAAGTTACAGGTCAGATCTGTGGAGAGGCGACCCTGCTCACAGTCAGAATCCCTGTTTTTCAAGGTGTTTTTGAGCTATAAAACCACCTGTAATTGAAAAAATGTAAAGTAGATCTGTTTAATGTCATACTGTGGAACATTCCAGAGCGATGACATAGCCGTAGAAACAAGAAGGTGACAGTCCCCCAACCAAAATGTAACATAGTGCAGCTTTAAGGCTAAGCCAAGTGTGTGGTTTTCTTTTAAACTGTCTCAACATCAGCGCTTACTCAGGTCTTTCCATCTTTCAATAAATTCACACAAAATATAAAATGTCATAATGTGTTGAAACGTATTTTAGAGTCTGTAGTGGATCCTTGAAAAAGAATGTAGCGCATTGTCAAAGGATGTAATTGTGGGCATTTATATAGACTAAAGCCCCGTCCACAATAGTACGTATTCGAGTCGTTTTCGTTGTGGATGCAACACTAATCTGAGTGAAAACTGCTCCAGAGACAAAACTGTGCACTGTGTGGACGCCTGAAAACACTGATACACTGATGTAGGTCTGTGCGCCGTGAAGTAATTCACCGCCAAAACGCTAAGAGGCTAGAATATATTTATTTAAACGGTCTATGCTTATGACCTACAGATGTATAATCTCTGAAAAGTTTAACATGAACCATCTCCAACGCGACAGAAACACAGAACAGACTCACCATCAGCAGAACATCCCTCTGTCACAGAAAGAACACTCATATTCCACTGAGTCTTGTCCTTTAGTCCGACAGAAGCTGAACCACATCAGCGCACAAGGAGTGAACTGTTCAGTGCTCAGTTTATGCAAATGAGCCATGCAGTTTTAAGTTTCATTTCTGTAAAACGTAAACACATATGCTCAAAGCTGTGTGGATAAGGAAGGACTGCAGACACAGAAAACATGTGCGTGGACGCAGATCATTTCCGATACGAATGATACGGTGATACGCGGTTTTGTTTCAGTGTAAAAAGAGTAAAAATATAAATGGTAATAATAAATTCTAAATAAGAAGCAGAAAAACAGCACGAGACAGGTGTCAAATAAGGCACAATTATATAAATGTAAATGTACAAGTCAAAATCAAATCGAAAAGTAAGTAATAAAATATAAAATCCCAGCTATATACAAGCCTGTACATGTGTTAATCTTTTTATACCCCATTATATGTGTGTGTGTATGTGATTTTAAATATATATAATTTTTTTTAAGTTCAATTATAACACAGTGCTCCACGGGTGTCATAGATTATAACTCCATAGCTCAAGCACACACTGTGTTTTTTAATAATGCACCAAATACTCCAGAGGGCACATTGGAGTAAAAACTGTTAATATACTGTTTCATAAATACTGTGAACTGTGAACTGAATACCATAAAATGTACTGCGACGTTTAGAGCCGCCGGTTACATCTACATGCAGAAGTTACTGACGCTACTTAATGCACAGGTATGTAACATAAGTAGGACTGCGTACTATTAAAAGGTATCAGTATGGTACCAGAAAAAATGTTTAATTTTGAGAAAAAAAAAAAGATCTGTCTGAATACCATAAGATACTGATACTGATATATTATGCGATATCTGGGAATGTTTTATAAGTTGTTGTTTTTTTAAGATAGAAACTCACTTTTTTCATATTTGCGGCATTATCCTACGTCAGACGCACGCTTCATGATGACGCAGGGAAAATGAGTGTCCAATAGGAACTTTGTTTTCTGCCAAACACATGTGGCTCCATCCATTTTGATTGGCCCAGACTTTGCCAAAGAGTGTAGAGTGAGTCTTAAGGGTCGACTGCTCTGAGCGTCTGTGTTCGTTACAATTGAAAAAGCCGCTCTAAGTGCAGTTATTTCTTAAATAAATGGCAAATTACGCATCTTGGTCTGTGTAATTGGGTATCCCTTGCCATTTTTATTTGAACTTGACTTGATATTTTGCACTTTTGTAGCTAAGGCCCTAAATTAAGCTTATTTTATGTCCAAAAAGTTGTTGATACATGTTTGCTGTGTGTTTTGTATGAAAGACTGAATTTTATTTTCTGTTTCTTTTTGTCATTTGTATTTCTGGTCCTATAGCTTTTATTACTTCCATATGACACAACTAGAGCAGCAGATTGTAAAATAACAGGTTGTACTGAAAAAAAGTAATGTATAACACTTCATTAGGGGGTAAAAGGGGGAGTTTTAATAGCAAAGTTAAGAAAAAATCCAGGCGAGGACAAATGTACTAAAATTGCCCTTAGGTCGTGAAGGGTTTTAATAGACAGGTATGAGTAGGTACCAGTAGGGGTGGGCGATATATTGATATTTTAAATATATCGAGATAGTTTTTAAACTCGATATGAATTCTGACATATCGTATATATTGATATAATGTTTATATTCAATTTAGATTTCCGTGCTTCACTTGTTTACCTTCTCTCTCGTCGCCTCCGCCTCCCTGATTTTGTTCGTTCGTGTCTCCTTCACTCGTCACTATCGCCTTGAACGCCGAAAGTTGGTGGCAGTGAAAAGCTTCAAGCACCACGAACCTTTTCCACCATTTACAGACAAAACCACCAGCAGCACATCCTCATATTCCACCGAGTCGCGTCCTTTAGCCCGAAAGAAGCTAAACGAGCTGAGCTGCAGGAGAAGTGCTGTTTATGCAAATGAGTCCATGCGCTTAAGTTTCGTTTCTGTAAAACGTAAACACACGTGCGCAAAACTGCATTAAACACATTATTATCTCAAACGGGCTGATGTGGCTCTAGAGTCGTTATGTTTTATATCTTGTAAAGTTTATTTATGCAGAAGATTTTAATTAATCTGTTGCAGTGTCACTTGTACAATAGTGTTTGGAATCGT